TCCCTTTGTGCACATCCAACAGTTTAAGCTGCATAGATTCTGTTTCTTTGGGCAGGGCCGGCGTCTGAGAAAGTAAACTCGGGGTGACCCTCTGGGTTAGGCCAGTCTGGGATACGAGCTGAGACTGAGCTGTGATTCAGGGAGCCAGCCGCAGCTCCGAGGTCTCGGTGGGTCCCACTTCAAAAGGAGGGAGGAGAGATCGCTTGTGTCAGGAATTTAGTTCCCCCCCTCACCGAGCCGGCTGCATTCTTGACCCCAGAGGAGCTGGTTAAACATCACGGACGCTTTGCCTCTTTTGTCGCCGGGGAATCAAGACAGCAACCTGATGCTGCCAGCAGTGAATCTGTGGCCGTGGGGCCGGCAGAGTAAGCTCATTAACACACGAGACACCTTCTCAACACCCCCCACCCATCACTCCTGTGTCAGGGAGCTGCTGAGGAGGCTGATTAAGACATCCAACCAAAGTTCAACTGACAGAACAGCTGATGATCCTGATGTCCGAACACACTGATGTTCATACACACACAAGTTGAAGAAATATTTTATGTGATTCTTTGTTAAAGTGTGCAGTGTAGAAGGAATATGAATAACAATATCTCCTTGTGGATTCATTTCTCAATTGTTTTTTTTAAGTAAATTATTGAGTCTGTAAAGGTCCACACACACACGCGCGTGCGCACACACCTCTGTGCAGCACTTTCTCTGCCACACATCACTCACACACTGCTGGCACAGTTTCAAGTTCAGCATCTCGCCCAAGGTCATTTCACACAATCACACTGAACAGGGAGGCTGGGATCGACCGTTGACCCTCTGGTTAGTGGACAATCCGCTCTATGCCTCCTGAGCCACAGCAGCCCACAGATGTTCAATGTTCAATGTTTGAGCAGCTGCAAACAGAGATTATTTGGCATTTTTATTTTGCAAATGAATTAAACGATTACCTGATGATCAAAAATAGTTGCTGATTAACTTAACTTAACTAACTGTAACTAACTGTAGACTGACTCACTGACTAATCGTTGCAGCTCATAATGTCGACAGTGGGTTGAAGTGAACATTACAGAGTTTCTAAGTCTCTAAACTAACGTAAATATGTCAGAGGAGTCTGTGGGACACTTGATTAGTTTCACTCTCATAAAGACTGATTGTGTTAAAATAGTAATTTTTACTCACTAATTTAATTAATTACTAGTTTGTTTCACTATTTCCTTATATGAGGAGGCCTGGATGTTCAGTTTTTTTCTATCAATAAAAGAAATAAAAGAAATGATGAGAAATATTTTATATTTACACTATATTTAGTTCATTTCCGTCCTCTGTGAAACAAAAACAACTCTCAGGACAAGTTTGTTCAGGTATAAGAGCGGCAGGAATATCACTATGTCTCGTTGGCACTTCCGAGTCGATCAGCATCATCAGCTGCAGCATCACAAAGAAACATGCCTGTGCACATTCAATAAAAATGTAAAGAAGCTTCCGTGATAGAAACTGTAATGTCACAGTTGAGAGGAGCTGCACTATGCACACGAGCAGGAGGAAGTCGACGCACTCTGACAGACGAGCAGAGGTGCACCTGTCTGTCTCTTTGCATAAACACACCTAGTTCTTTACGCTCACTGAGCCGCTGCCCCGACCTCTCCCTGGCCCCGAGCTGCAGGTGTCTCCGCAGACGACTCAGTCATCTGCAGCATCTGAGGACGTTTTGAGACCCGTGCATCCCAATCGTGTGGATACCCGACATCTAAATAACACAAATATCATTCTTAGATATTCAACATTTGCCCTTCAGAGCTACAACAAAGTTCAGCATCATTCTTAACTGAAATATTTCATACTCACCCAGTTGTCTTACTGTCTCTAGTCAAATTCAAGCTCTCCTCACTGACTTTCAATGGAAATTCAAGGAATTCATTCTGTGATATTTTTGGAGTTAAAGTCCAAACTAGGCACCGCAGAGGCTGATGTCATCAAATACCTTTGAAACAAAAACACTGCAAAATGTTTTTCCTGTGGAGGTTTGCTGCCTGGTAAGGACAGACATCCACATAGATGAGGATTAGACAAAAGTGCTTTTTTTCCATATGAGGCTTTTATCACAACTTCAGAACATTTGAGTGATTTCCTCATGAAAACAGAAACAAACTCACTGGGGTTTCCACAGTTCTCAGCTTGTCCACTCCTCTGGTTTGGGTCTGTGGGACAGAGAGGGTCTTTAGATGAGCCCGACTGAATGAACACATAGACATGAATGTAAACACGTATACAAAGCCTTGTTCAGCTACAGTCTTTTTCTCAGAATCTTTCATTCTACTCTTCATCATATACGGGCCCTTACTGCAGCTCTCTTCTGGGTCATGGCACTGCCTTCTACATTTGAAAGACGTCCAGGTTTGAGGCCTGAATCTGATCTCCAGAGGCCCACAGCACCTCCTGATCCTATCACCAACATCAACATCTTTCTGTTCTGTTTGACAGATGTTTGCAAATATTCTCTGTGAGCCAATGAACAGTGAAATTTCACTTAAGGACATTTGAACTTTACGTTACCTGCGGTTCACACGTCTGCTCGCTGCTCCACTGAGGCCACGTCCACAGTGCCTCATGCAGGTGATCTCTCAGAAGGCTGCAACACACCGACATCATGGACCGAGTCAGTGGCAAGGCCATTTTAAAAGTGACCCTTTCAGACACGTTATGTTTGAATATACGCACCAATATGAAAATTCTTATCTTACAGAATAAACAGGATAGATGTGCATTTATGTTCATAATTCACTTCATTCAATATTCTATATATATTTGCTTGTGTGTTATTATTAATAGCCATTTTTAATTGAGGTGATGGTTAAACTGTAAAATATCAGGTCAAAATTACATTTCTTTATGGGTTTGATAACGACCTGTTAGGAATTATTCTTTTTCTAATATAAGTTGATACATATGCCTGATTTATCGGTATTGGATTTTTTTTCTCCTACTCCTTAATATCAGCCTGGCTCTACATTTTAATATTTTAATCAAAAAATCTGCACATTTCTAACATGTCATCTTTTCTTCACTGAGGTACTTTGATAGCCTCATTTGAATTTGTAGATTTTTTCGAGGTTCATGGAAATCTACATTTTATTAAAAAATAAAGTCATAGGTTTGATGCAGCAAATGATTTCTCTTCACCTTTCAGTTGAACACATTTTAAATAAGTGGTGACAAATGTCAATGGTTGAAATATTTGGATATTTTTCGTCAGAAGCTTTTGTTGAGTCTTGTTTATTGTTTCGACATCTGACTACCTAAATAGTTTTGACTCAACCGAGGCAGGATGTGTCACGCCGTGTTTCTCTCTCACCCTCTCACTCGGTGCCTTCAGCAACATCTCTCCTGTCTGGTCAGACCTGGGGAAGTGCGGCTGGCTGAGCGCGTTAGGTCGACTCATTCCTCGCGTGAGAAACAAGACAGCGACTGCAGGAACCGACAAAAGTACACACTCGCACACCAGGACTCTTGTGTAACACACTCGCACAGGCAACCCCAGTTGTGTAACTTACATAAGCAGATGGTTCAGGATGAACTTTGGAGGCATATTAAGATTTGTAGTTTCCCACCGATAAACAACACAGGCCTCAATGGCAACACACGGTGTATAAAATTCATGAGGTGATCATCTATTGAACCCAAAAAGATTAAGTTGAAACCTGCTGAATTCTCATTAGAAAACACACAGAAAACACTTAGTTACTCTGTTGCTTAATCTAATTCAGCTTAAAGAGAAGATTTGAACAACTCAGTAACTCAACAGGGTTTTCAGGTTTGTGGTCGTGTGAAATGTTTTTTTCACAATTAGTCCACAACCACTGAAGTCTGAACGCACCAGCAAACACTTGAATGAAAACAGGAGAAATTCAAACCTCAAACTCTGACAGTCTCGTTCGTAAATACATAAGTGTTTATGAAATCATTACATTTGCAGGTACTTTGTTTTTCTTCCCTCTAAAATTACTCTGCGACATCTCCTTCAAACAACACCCTGACGTATAATCTTTACACAATAGCAGCTAAAAGAAACTTCTGTCTGTCATCGCCTTCAAACTGTCGGACGAGTTCACGTTTAACATGAGACGACAACAAGTATGTCACTGAAATATCTGGAACTCAAAATATCACATGCAACATCTCGCTTCCTGTCAGGTCCACTGTCAACACTAAAAGAAAGAAAGAAAATCTTTGAAAAGACATTTTCATATCATCAAGGCCAATATCAGAGTCCCCTCTCGTCCCACCACACTATATCTGGGTTGGCACGGTCCAGGCCGCTGCATGTGAACCGCCTGCCTGTAAATTGTAAATTGATGAGGAAGTAGCGTTGCTCTGCTGGGGTTCTCAAACTTTGCCTTAAGCTGACAGAGGAGCCCTGCTACAGATGGAGGGCTAAGCCTGCGTGATCTCTCCCCGCTGAAGGAAGGAAATTAGCTGCGGTGAGCTGATATTACCATGTGGCACGGGAGTGAGAATATTAAAACAGTTGTATGTATGCAAAAGGTCTGCCATGGCTAGAGAGATGAGACGAGGCACAGATAAAGTTTGATATGTGTAAAAAAAAATTGTCAGAGCAGGACTGACACTGTGTTAAGATTACATCAACAGTAATCAGAATGTGAACCTCTTGTTTCGTCACCCACAGCTCAGAAGTGAGTTGATCACCATGATGGTTTCTCTTCAGCTAAAAGCAAACAACTCACAAAGTTTATCTATATGAACCAAAAATATATTATATATATATATATATATTATATATATATATATATATATAAAATATATTTTTTTAGCTCTGAAAAATAAAAAAAAAAAGGAATCTATAAAACTGCAGTTTCATGATATATTTAAAAGTTGATTATTTACTCTGGACTCCCTGAGAATCTAAGTCAAACAGATTCCAGTTTGAAATCTTTTGACTCAAAGACCTTTGTGTGAGTGTTGTAACATCTTTCAACAGATTTGCGGGTGAGACAAATGGATGTTCATATTCATATATTTTATATAATGTATATCAAACTAAAACTAATACAGCATCAAACTTAAAAAGGGAAAAAAAACGAAAAAAAAAAAACCCTGAAAACTGAGCAATCCGTTGGCTTGTGGAACAGTGGATGTTAAAACCAGGGGGAGCGGACACTAAGGGGGGCACAGCAGATGCCGCGGGCATCCCGTCACATCAAGTCTCCAGCGGCAGACATCAGGTGGGGGGGGGGGTTGCAAGGGAAGGGAAAGGATGGGGGTAAAGGAGTTGGGGGAGGGGAGAAGGGGGTAAGTACAGGTGGAGATGAGACAGTCCAGATTTCTGCAGGGCAACATCTCTTCTTGCTGTTATTTCACTTTTTTTTTACATTTTTTATTTTTTTTAAATTTCAAACACAAAAACCATGTTCTAAAAAAAGCAGCCTTGGTGCGTTGAATGTGTGAAACAAAGGGGGGGCCAAGTCCTTGTTCTTCTTCTATTTTGGTGGGGAGGGGGTGTTCTTGAGACAAAGATTTTTGTCTCTAAACAATGTGATTTTACTATGTGTATGTTTGTGTGTGTGTTGTGAGAGAAAACCATGACAGCAGTCGGGAAGATGAATTTGTGTTTTAGAGGAGTTGGGGTGGGTGGGGGGGGGGGTTGTTAAGGTGAATATTTGGCTGTGTGCTTGTGATGCTGTCTTTGCTCCTCTGTGCAACACGTGTACACCAGGTTATCATGTAGCACGACCAGGCCGAGGGCAGGGAGGCTTACTTGCACTTGTGTGTCACTGGATGTGCATGCCAGTGTATTTGTATATGTCATCACTGTGTATTAGTGTGTGTGTGCGTGTACTGTAGGCCCAGACTGGGGGGAGAGAAGGGAGGGGGGAGTCATGCTCGGTGACTACTGTGTGTCCAGCCAGTTCATCAATCAGTCAATGAGTGGGTCCTCTCAGTGGGCAGAGGGACAGTTCCTATTCTTTAGCCTCCAGGAAGAGCGTCTCCTGTGGAAACAACTTGGCCTCCAGCAGAGTTGAGCCTGGCTCCAGCTGGGTGATCTGAGAGGAGACAAAGGTAAAGTACAGGGAGAACGTTAGACAGACAAGTGGTTTGAGGCTACAGCTTCAACGGATGGTTATTTTCATTAGTGATTAATCTGACATGTAGTTAACTCCTCTGCCAATTTCAAAACTCGTTTGGTCCAACCAACACTTCAACACACAAAGATATTAAATGTACAACGATATTAAGCAGAGAATTGGCATATTTACACATTTGATTCATTTCAATTAATTAAAACTTTTTCATAGCTATTAGCTTTCTACACATGCCTGAATTTTTGATAAATATCTTGGCATTATTTCCTGACAAATTCACAAAATTGACCAAAAATGATAACGATAAGGAGAGTGAATAATCCCTGGATCCACTGATTTATTCGGATCTGCTCCAAAATGTAATGGGTTCATACCCCCCCCCGCATCCTCACAAAAATTCATAGAAGTCGGTTCAGCAGTTTTTGCATAATCCAGCTACCACATAACAAACAATTGACTGTTAAATGAAATCTGCAAGGGATTGCAGAAGCATTAAATTCATTACATGTGCCTCGATCTGAGCTGCCGATAAAAACACAGCAACTGATCTTCCTCTGCAAAGTGGATCGATTTAAAAACTAGTTCTGGCAGCAACAACCCTGGTAGACAACATATTATGAATGATTCCACAGGGAAAAGAAAACGTTTTAAAGTCAGCAGAATTATATTATCTAAACTTTTTCAATTACATTTACAGATTTATTCCTGTTAGTGTGAATATGGGACTGAAAAACCAGACGGTGTAAGAGAGTGTGTATTACTCTAACATTGTTTTTAAAAACAACGTATAGGCAGTAATCTGAGCAGCTGGAGCTTCGTTTCCCTAAGAGGAACATCAGGTTTGTTTTCATAAAAAGGCTCTGATCCAGAACAAACTGATGAAGGCTACAGGACAGGAGTGTGTGTTATAAAAGCTCTGCTGTGAGCGAGCGAGCGAGCGAGAGAGAGAGAGAGAAGGGATTTAGAGAGCTGTACATTTCCGATGACTAATAGTGACTGATTTCATCTGTGACACAGGTCAAACAGGAACATGGCTGATGGTGCAGAGGAGAGAAACATTGATCTGTTTTCAGCAGCGATTGTCTAAGAGCAGAGGAATAATTCAGTACCACCCACAACGGAGCTGATTGAGTTAGCCGACACGAAGGAGGTCTGACCTGCGTTTTTCTTTCTTTTTTTTTTTTTCTTTTTTTTTTAAAACAGGACAATCTGACTCGCTCCCTGACACCCACCACCCCTGTGGGCCTCTTAGCTTATGTGAGCTAATCACTGGCAGGGTTGTGTTACATCGGGCCAATCTAACACCTGGGCAGAATGGGCGAGGTGGTGTGACACCGAGATGTGTCCAGGGCTTATCTGGTGACTGCTGCGTCAACCTCTCTGATTAGGGATCCTTCTAACCTCATGGTGGGATAATTAACCAGCTCGCTGTACCTGACATAGAAGGTCAGAGGGCAAGCCAAGCGTACTAAAGGTCGACCTCACAACAAGCGGAGTGAGAAGTCTGAACTCTGACAATGAACCAAAAAACCAGCTTCACCTACATTCTCATTCTGTGTCTTATCAGTGTTATTGGTGTCAGAACAATCAAGTGTAAATCTTGCTCTATACGCAAGCCCTCTAATTTAGTTTAATTTGAAATTCTAAAGAAGAATTTAAGAAATTATATTTGAGCTTTGAACAATCTCCAAATGGTAATAAACACTGTGCAATGTTATTTTTGAAAAAAATTGTGATAGCAGCAAACATTTAAAAGAATCAAAACAATCCACAAATAGAAGCTGAAGGGGGTTCAAAGACTGTGAGACAAGGGTGACAAACAAAAAAAGGAATAATGGAAAGGTGTGGAGGACATATCAGCATCCGGCAAACTATCAATCTCCCAAGGGTGTTTGGAAATGTCACATCGTGTGCACTTTGGCGATCTTTGACTACACGTCTTTCATCTATCATTGTCCTCATTTCAACGTGTCATTTAGACTCTTGACTTCTCAGCAGGGTCCTGGGGAGCCCCGTGCGGCAGGGAGGGGCTGCCTCATCAACCTTATGCCTATCATCTAGTCAACTGCCTCATAGCACAGCGGGGAGCGAGACGCCATGAAGAGAGGTAAAATGGTGCGTGTGTGTTTTTATGAGTGTTGTGTGTGTTTGCTGCAAATATATTCCATCCCGACGGTGGGGGAAGACGACCAACAGGGCTGCTGAGTTCCTTTTCCCACCTCAGGAGCAGCGCGTCGCAAATGGCTGCCATGCTAATGAACCCGACAGGCTGTTATGACACCACAGCATCAGGTAGGAGTAAATGAGGCTTTGGGGTGGAGCAGGTGTGTGTGTGTGTATGTGGAAGACATATAAGCTTGTGTGCTGCGAATAAAATTGGGATGAGAGTTTATGCTCGCCGTGCACCAGGGAGAGACAACAGGGGGAGAGCAGCATCTGACTCTGAAGAAGAAAGTAGGGAAACAAGATGCCACACTGACACAGGAGACGGGCGCCATCGGTGATTGTTTACATTGTTATCCAATTAACAGACCATAAGCATGGAGGCATCTGTCAACAAACAAAGCTGTTGTTTTTCCTCTGCTCTGCCTAAGCCATATTCTCTCCTCCTGTGCCTACACAGCCATGCATACATACATACATACATAAGACAGACACAATCTAGCTCTCTGCTTGCAGTTTGTCTTTAACCTTGAGTCAATATAATTTCCATCAGCCAATTTAGATCAAATCAATCAGCTGAATTAGGGTCTGACTAATTTAGAAGATGAAATTCATTTCAAAAGATTTTCATCTGACGAAATAGCATTTGTGCAAAATAAAAGGTTTGCTGGATAATTAAAAACACATAAATGAACAGAATAAAAACTGAATTGAACTGAAGCTCAGCACAAAACAAAATTAAAGAAATTCAAATCAGCTTTATTTGTGTCGCACCAAATCACGTCACATATTATCTGACGTCACTTGACACCGTGAGGTGCAGACTTTACATTATTACAGAGTGAGCACTTCACGAGAGGAAAAACTTCCTTTTAACAGGTAGAAACCTCGAGCAGAACCAAACTCGGGGTCGGCCTCCATGTTGAGAGGAGAGAGGGAGGAGAGGCAGTAATTTTAAAATTGGAATGAATGAAAAAGACAGATGGTGCTTCTCAGCAATCTTAAATCATTTATCTTTTTCTGTTTATGAAAAATTGTACGACATAAAATAATCAGCCCTGTGTGTTAGGCGTTATCAATCTGCAAATTTCCCCACGGTTAAAAAACACACCATTAGCACTTAATGTGAAGTTTGAATTTTAATACCACAATTGTAAAGCCACTTGATTCAAATGAATAAAACACACTGATATAACAGAGGAGGCGACACTAAGCAATGCTCGGCCGTGAAAGAAAAGAAAGGGAAAATAAACACAGGGCCCTCGAGATGTCCGTTTCCAATATAATCAAATGTGCAGCTGAAATAACGCATTTTTAATGAAGCCATTACAGGCCCTACTATGTTAATTAAAACCAAATAACTTGTCTGTTTTAAACTAGTGTTGTCAAGTGTTTATTTGGCCAATTACAAAAGCAGTGGGAGATCATTATCTGCTGCCAGGAGCGTTGACAGCACGTAGCGCCGGGGCGTGAACAGAACAGAAAAGAACAGAGCAGAATACGGTACTTCAAAGAGAGAAAGGCACTGCACAGCTTTGAGGAGGGGAGAGGGGGTGGCAGAAGGAAAGGAAGGGAAAAACAGAAAAATGGGGAACGGAGAGGAAAAGTAAATGAGAGAGTAAGTGAAGTGAGAGAAAATAAAGAGAGAGTAGTTTATGCTTAAATATATTCAAATGTGGTTTAAGTGGGGAAAAAATGAGGATGCACAAAGACTGTGCAACAAGTATAAGTGGAAGGGACGGGGACTGTGTAAACAGGGAGGTGCAGAGGCATCAAGAGAGGGAAAGAGGAGGGAAAAAGGAGACGGAGGGAGGGAAAGCTGGAGGGAAGAGGGCTGAAGGTGAGGAGGGGGCTGGGACCCTCAGGGTAAAAACTCAAACAAGCAGCTTTTAACATAAAAAGATTCGCTCTGAATGTGTTTTAAGTCATTTAAAAATTCTTTGCTTTGATTGATGATTTGCGAAAAGTCCAATCTCGCTGGGAAAGTTTCACATTTCCAACTCCAACATGTGTAAGTTGCTTCTGAAGTGGTTTCACAAAACCCTGCTTGTATGAGCACGTGTTCAACTTCAGAACTTCAGTAGAGGAGATTGTGAAAATACCTCCCAGTATCAAACTGTGCACATACAAAGAAATGGGACCAACACCTGCATCCAGAAAAAAAAACTTTAGATGGATGCTGGATCAACAAAATCGCACAAAATGTTTGAAAGATACGCACACTTGAAGCATTTAAGGATTTAATTTCCACTGATGCTTTTGTCTTTGTAACAATTCTAGATATTTCTATTTACATCTTCCTGAAAGTAGATCCATGGTGTGACTGACTCCCTATTTTAAAAAATAATTCAACAGAGACACCACTAATATTTAGTATTTGTTTTGAACCCGTATAGAATACCAACTTTTTATGTGACATGAATTATGCAGACTATTCTTTTAATGCATATTTTTTAATGACATCTACTATGTAATCTGTGTTGCTGATACATTTCATGATTTGTTCAAAATGGATTTTGGGTATGTAAGATTGTGACTCTGTTTCTTTGTAAAAATTCTGAGGAAGAGCATTGGTGCTTGAAAATAAATCATTTAATGGGATCTTTAGGTGTGTGGATCGTCTCCTTTAACACTCTGTACATACATGCAGTAAAAATAAGTAAAAACCTGTTTTGAGTGCAGGGAGACTTTAACCGAGTGAGATACTGGTCCGTGTACGTGGCCTAATATGAATCCAGCTTCACAGATGAGGCGTGGTGTCACACATCTTGGTGAAGGAGTGGGTTTATCATTATAACAGCCTTGAGGAGCCTCTGAAAGAGGCTACTTTCAAAATAAACTACCTTCCTTCTTCCTGTGAAAACTACTCTTGTCAGATAGTGGGAGAAGAAAAGCAAAACACGCCAGTGCAACAGATGTAAAATCTATTTCGGCTTCTTCTATGCCACTGTTTATTTTTGTTGCATCTCGGGTTTTGTCTAAGAATCAATTTTGCAAACTCACTCGCGGAGCTGGAAGAAGGATTAAGCGAAGGTGAAATAGAGTACAGTATCACTGTAAAGGGAAAATAATACGCTGGGTTGACAATGTTTGGGTGTCTACGAGCAGCCGGGCAGGAAGAGCCGATTGCCGATTATTATACCGGCAGTCTAAACATTTTCACCGCGAGCTGAAGGAAGAAGAAGACCCTCAGGCCTTCGAGCGGTGGTTTGAGCGTGACACGTATCAGAGAGAAAGGAGGACATTCTTGAATGAAAAGCTGAAAACTGAAACACTAGACGCCCCCACCTCCTCCTCCTCCTCCTCAAAGTCGCTGACAATCATAGAAACGGAGAAAGGGTTAGTTCCCTGAGCACGGCTAAGCCTAGTACAAATGATGCCAGTGTAAGGCCTGCTGTAGTGCTGAAGAGATAAGCCACTGATACCAAATGTTGAGGAAACAACGGAGTCCAAATTTTAGAGACTAATCGACACTTATTGGCTAGACTACAGGAAGGTGGGAAACGGCACAGATCAGTGATAGGAGAACTGCTTTGGATGTTTTATTTTTAATGAGAATTAACTCATATTTCCAGATGTACAGAATCCCAACCTTTTCCTGGTTAATAATGGGGTAGTTTTAGGACAGAGTATTTTAATAAACGTCACATGATGTTCTCAGGTTGGATTGAGAAGATCCACTGATTTGTGTTCCTGCTGAACCAGTAGAAATGAGATAATGCGGGCTGACGAGGAGGGAAATCACAAAAGAAAGAGTGACACTCCACAAAGCCACAGAAAACTCGAAAAGGGAAAGAAGGTTTCAACAGTTGTGCAGTATTACAAATGCAATAGTGCTCTATCCTCTATCCTCTGATCCTGGCAGAGCAACAGTGAGAGCGTCTGGACGGGATGGAGGCTTTCTATGCTCCCTCTCTTTTAATTACAACACAGAGCTGGAGGATTAGACAGGGGCCTGTGTTCACAGCCTCATACTGGCACTTCCACTGAGCTGCTTCACTTCTCTCTTCCCCCCAAATCTCTCGCCTTTCTGTTTTCTGGAATTATCTCCCATCATCTTCTTTTTTAATATCTTCTCCACTTGTCTTCTCCATCCTTTTCTCTTTCAGACTGTTTCTCTGATTAAGTCTTTTCTTTGTTTAAGCTTCTGTCTTCTCTGTTCTCTTTTCCACTATAGTTCTGCAGTCGCCATCCTTCTTCCCTCTCCTCTCCTGCTCTAATCCTCCCATCCTGTTTTTGCTGGAATTTCATCTGCGATGCAGACACATCTTTATCTCTGTCTCCAACACATGTTTACTCTTGATTATAAAGAGACAACTGTGAATCCTTTAAGTGACAAAGTTGTGAGCGGGGCATTTGTTTGCTTGAAAATATTTGTGCATGTGTTGAAGTGTCTGATTGTGACGAAATGAGGAGTGTGAGCTTGAGTTAATGTGTGTGTTAGTTTGAGGTGTTTGTGCCCCAGCGGTCTCTACAGACTGCCATGGCACACTGCCTGGGCAAGCCTACACACACACACACACCACTATACAACCACCACCACCCACTCCTCCACATGCACTCTTCTCTTGATTAATGGAAAGCCCATTTTTGTTTCCAGCAGCATGGCTAATTAAACTGGTAGTTAAAACAGTGCTCATTAGCTCGTTACCACCGAGCGCGGCGACCAAACTCTCAAATGACGGGCTGTAGCTGAGTGAGTGCTGCCGCACGTCAGCAGAAGAGCCACAGAGAATACTACTGTCAGTGCTGACAACTGTATCCTCACACAGTCACAGTGTACTGTATTCACAACGGACTGATTGCTAATTAATATTCACTGAATATTACGTGTGCGCAGGTGGATGGATAAACAGGCGGCTTAACTTGCACCATCACAGGTATGCGTAAACAAAGGCAGTGATCCTCAGGGGCTGCTGTGGCGCACAAGCACTGCAAACAAGAATAATGAAAAGGCAAGAAAAACTAAATCGTCAAACCAACACAACATATCATCTTAACTGTTGTGTCGGCTTGTCTCCACTCACAGCTGCCACCCGAGTTTCAGCACAGGCCCCTTTACAGCTACAGGCCAATTACAGCTGCGGATCTCTCCAGCAGAGACTTTAGTTGAACACTTCATAACCTGCTACTGCTCCTCTCTGGTGATCTGACAACTGGATAATTCAACTCCCATCTTAGGATAAAAAAAAGTCTTCACCCCTCCACTTGTAAATTTAACAGATCACGTGTTGGTCTTTGCAGCATTTTCACTGCTGGTATGACTGTATATGAGCATAAGAGGGTGATTTTGGTGCACGTGTGCATCTGATATTAAACTCACATTTCTACGAGGGAAGGTGGTGAGGAGCTTGAACTCATCGAAGGGATACCCCTTGGACGCAACGAAGTCGAAAAGGACCTGGAGCTTACAGCTGCCCAGGAAACGCCTTTCCAGAAACTCGCCGCTTGGTGTGCGGATTCGCAGTTTGCTGATTTGCTCTCCAGACTCCTCGGCGGGCTCTGGCGGTAGCGTCTTCTCCAATGACAAGCGGATTGCCTGGAAGAAAGATTGGGACAAATCCAGTATAGTGGTCAGTACAGCACATTGACAATTTTGGATACTCTACATGATCTAACTAGAGTTGGGCAGATTTCTATTATGTTCATCACAAGAAATCTGTTGAAATTCCTCCAACTTTTAGAATTAGGTTTTTCTTCACTTCGCAAGATGATGCATGTTCTAGACACTGCATAATAATACACAACAGAACAAATGTTCTATACACAGAGCTTCTCATTGCTGACTGAATGTTTACATACAGGTGCCAGTGAGGTGCAGCTGTCATCACTGGAGCTAGAGTTCTTTTTTTTTAAAGCCTATTTGCATTACAAAAGTTACTAAAAATATTTGTATCTTTTGTTCACAGGAGACTATGATTCATAATAGGATATATAACTTCAATTAATAACATTTAAATTAATCAAATGATTGAATGAGCTATTAACTCATTCATTTCAATAAAATATTTTAATGTAGGCTATTCATTAATTAATTAATAGAAATGAAATGGAATAAATGATAATCAAACCAATAGTATTAGTGGGACATTGATCAAAACAACGACAAATTCCTACCTAATATGCATTATGCATTATTCTAATTTAGCTTTACACAACAGCACCTCTCTACAACTCTTTTATGTGTGTTACTTGTACATCACATTTTTCCCTATAATAGACACATAAGAATAAAACTAAATGGATTAGTGCAGGAGAGGAGAGAAGCCAGGGAGCTTATACACAGTCCTCCCGGATGCAAGAAAAAAAAAATCAAGAGATTTGGTGAAGTGTTATTATAAAAACAAAGCGCTATCTCTTTCTCACTCTCTCTCCCTCTTGTTTATAGAAAATTTAAACCAAAGACTCGACGGTAACACTGGCAGCGATGCAGATGATGACACACTATCCAAATAAGAATGAAGGAGAAGCCAACGAGTTGCTCCCAGAGTCTGATTGCAGCACTGTTGCCTCACGTTAATTAAAGCAACTTCGTGTCCAGAGAATGTTATTAAATTAGTTGTCCTGTGTCTCACCCTGTTCCCTGAAGCCTGGTGTCACCCAGAAGGTTGCCAAGTAGCATTTCAATATGTTAAAAACAGCCAAGTGTGCTCCTAGCTCTCTCTCTCATGCTGCCTTATACTGCTGCTCAGTGAGGGGGAGTCTGAGACTGAGCCTGCTGATTATCTCAGATAGTTTCAAGTCTTGTATCATAAGAGCTAATACATTTTATCTTTCAGACACATAAATTGGTTATAGTGTTTACACCACATCATAAGGGTGGTTTATGTGGTACAAAGACAATGATCAACTGTCCTCCTGCACAGTGAAGCTAATCAGCTCTCCTGTGCTCTGAAAATCAGAGCGTCAGCTACTCCCCCGAGCCTTTCCTCCTCGCTCTGCTCCTGCCCCTCGCCTCCTCCTCCCCCCAGCTTGTTGTTCCTGTTTGGCCAGCCTGGGAGCATATGCTGTGACAACACGCCCCGGCTTTATTTACACACCATAATGCAATTATATTTCATAAGAGTGTACAACAGTAGCTCATTAGCAGCTTCGGGTGTTGGGGTGGGCAGGGTAGGGCGCGTGCCGCTCCGCCATCAGCTCCCTCAGGTGTAAGAGCTGATGCTGACTTGAGTTAAAGGCATCCCAAGGGATAAAGTAATGCACACGCACACACAAATAACAGGCAGGAGTGTGTGTGGTGGTGGACATATAAATGCAGACAGACTGTCAACCACAGACGCAAGCATAAACACCCTCAAAAGTGAGAGGTAGCGTCCCTAAAGAAACAACAGGACACACGTCTAGCTGAGCCCTGGGGCCCGGCTGCTCCGCGCAAACAATCACAAGCATCTATCCGTCCATTTATCTGCCTCTCCGGCTCCACTCCACTAACCGCAGAAAGCAAACAGATGATGGGGACAGGGTGGGGGGAGGAGGTGCACCTGACAGTCACACAACTGTATGCTAAGACCCCCCTGAAGGAGGTAAATAGTAAAGGCAACCCACACAGGTACATGAAACACACGCACCCCACCCACCGCCGCTTGTCTCTGCACGAAGGCACAAAATCACAGAGAACGCGCTCCCTCTAGTATTGTTTTCTCTCTGGTGGTAACTACTGGTTTTGTTGTCTGCAGTTCGCAATCTCATAGGAAAACTGTAAACAACAAACAAAAAAAAATATTTTAGGTTCAAAAGCAGATGCATTTTTCAGATCCGGTCCAACAACACTGGGGATTGGATACTAAACATTTGTTACTGTTGTGGTAAAACAACAAATTAAACTAAATGTCTGTAGCCTTCAAATGGATCTGTCTAGTGGTCACAAGGGAATCTGTCCACAATAAAAACCAGTCACTCAGAATTATAAAAAAAGGAAGGATGGATTTAAAAAGCAGTATCCTCTGAAATGTTTAGATGGAGGAGCTGCATTTGTAATCTCATATAATAATATAATCAAGCACATTAATAGGTTTCTACTTCATGTAAATGTTCAAGCAGTAAATATTAATTGTTAACATTTTTGTTTTCCTACATGGACTATATTATTTTGCAGAGACTGAGAAAAGAAACAAATTAAATTGAATGCCTTGATTGCACAGTGATGCACCAAACTTAATATCAAAAACAATAATCAATCATATTGAAATTGTGTAAATACTGTTCTTTGATTTTCCGATATAACTTCTGTCTGTGTATCTGTGAGCCTGTGGGGGTACTTGTGTACACAGGAAAAGTTGCGTTCATGTCCCGTTTCCAACTTAAAACTCCATAGCCATTGTGATATATTAATGAATATCCCGGCAGCGTGTTGGCACAGATGACACCATAGAAACAATGATTCTTGGGCAGAGAAAACTGATATAAGTAGGCCATGGTTGCTTTCCCTTTCAGTGGAATAAACAAGCGTGCACACAGTTTGGTTAAAGGACGACAGTGATATAATTAAGAAGGCCCCTGGTCCAAGGCTCCTTTGTTGTCGTCTATTTAACGGAAAAGAGACAAATCACCTGAGTGAGCCGGGTCACCTAATACCTCTCAGTGCCTGAGGCTCTGTGCTCGTGAGTAAACAACCATCAGCTAGGACTACACTGTATTAATAAAGAGTATATAACAACAATGGTGCTGTCCACACAGACGATTATTGTTTTTCCTGCATGCGTGACAGTGTGTCACTCTTTGTATGTGTGTATGTGTGCGCGTTCACCCCCTCTTCACACACAATAATTGTTTTCCAGTGAATGTGTGTGTTTGCTTGGGTTATGTACGTTGTGTACATGGACGGCCTAGTCCTTTGTTCAGCTAGGTTTCAATATGCGAATGCGCGCTATACCAATGTACAGCAGTTAAATAGAACAATAACTGTGTGTATGTCAGGTGCCACTGGCAGGGATGGGCCTCACTGTAATTAGGATATTTCACTCTTCTTCCATGGCTGTGAGCCTGTTCATCCACTCTGCACATGCTTCACTGACTGGCAGACTGCACCAAAACCATGATCTAATTGACTCATTATTGTGAAGTGACAGCAAGGCGGATAAAGAATGGCAAAAATGAAACAGCCATGCACTGATGGAATATTAATTTGACAAATTTGAAAAATGTGAGTATGATGTGTACGGCTGCGTTCTCACCTCTTTTTCATCCTCCTGCTCCTTTCTCATCTGTTCCAGACGAACTTGCTCAGCCTCTTCTCGCTCTTGGGCTTCTCTCTAAAAAAATAACAGCAGAACCAGAATCAAACCAAGAAAAGGGCTGATGACTGTTGCTGTGTTGCCCACAGGTTTCAACTTTGCTTTGATGACTTGTTGTGGACAGTGAACCAATTAACCAGATTTTTTTAGTACTGAACAGCTGATTATGGAAATTCAATTCAAACTGCCCCTTCATCTTCACTGCATCAGGACAACTGCAAATCATAGCTCAAACGAGCAGCTTTGTAGTTACACAACTACAGAATCAGTCCCCTTATGAAACCACTTTTAAATTCACTAGATCCAGATATTTATTTGGTTCTGCAACAAATTGCACACACTCATAAATATCAGTCCTCTAAACTTGCAAAATATTTTTCATCAAGATCTATGAAATCTGTGAGAACTCAAGGAAAATGCTGAAAAACACAAAATTCCACCAAACCTCTTTGTCGGAGGCAACAGCAGCGAACTACAGACTTATTCTGAGCCTTAAATATGATAAAAGGGTTGTTAGCATGAGAAATTATTTCACAGTGAGAAAACAGATGGGATGACCATTTTAACTAAATTAACATAAAATTACAGGAAAAGTGTTGGTTTTTTTTTTAAACCCAAAGTTGTTGTTGAACTTAGATGGGCCATTTAATATAATGCAACTAACTCAAGAGCACAGAAATACTGTAAACTTTTGGTTTTACTTAAAAAATTACTAGGAGCTGACAGATATGTTAGGAAACAAAGATATTATTAAAAGCCAATAAAACAGACAGATATTTTCCTTAATATTATTTCGAAAGTACCTTCTTGCGGTCTGCCTCTAAAGACAGACGGTAGGCCTCATCCTGCTCTCTCTTCACCATCTCTCTTGCCTCGCGCTCGTCCTGGGTGGAGGGAGGAGAAAAAAAAGAAAGTGGGTCCATTAACTAACAAGATAATAAAGGATACACATGGGGACAAAACATCTAAGCTGAGTTGGTGGGTGTGGGAGCCAAAAAGAACCGAGCAAAGGAAAATGCAGCATGGAGCGTGTGGTTACGTACAAACACCAGGTATGAAAGAGTAGTACCAGAGGGGAATTCATTGTGACCGGGCTGTCATTTACCAGACCACAAGCGTCTTTTATGTTTCCTCATCTCAGTTTCACCGTCCCTTTCTCTCTCATTCACTCTGCCTCTCTCTTCCTGTTTGTACAGAGGGACGGGGACAGGCGGCCTTTCTCTCTCTACCTGCTGTGGCTACAAAGTGTTTCATAAAGACTGGGGACCAAATACAAGTGGTCATTGTGCTAACAGTGCATAGCCATTAGTTTTCTATTTTCTGAGGGCCCATGCTGTGTGCCAGTCCGGATATGGCAAAGGAAGCTTATTGTGATGATCAGTGGACTACTGTGCGGCTAAGCAAAAGAACAGTGAGTATTGTTGCATTCAATCGTAAAAATGCAAAGGATACATTTGTGCTTTTGGTCTGCATAATGGACGAACATTGAAAGGAAACTGTAAAAAGAATGGTGGAAGTGGACAAAAGCATCAAAAGTGGCGCCCTTCAATGGACTGGCCCAGAGTCACGCAAACAAGTTGCACAGAAAGTTGTTGGATACTAATTTTGCCCTGATGAAAAAAACTTTTCAATGTACTGTATGTCTGCTTGCACCAGAGGCATGAAGAAAAATATAAATCTACCATGTAGCTTCTCCATAGAAAGCAGTTTTAAAGACCTCATCATTGTAGGAAAAAAAGAAACTGAATTTTCACTTCTGTCTCTTGGCAACTGATCGAGATGGTGAGACGTACCGTCATCTGGTCATAAAGATAAACCTTCATTTCAGAGGCCCAGAGGTAAGAAATTAATTCAAGGTTTGTTCACAAACAACAAATAATGGAAAGAGTTGTTTTTAATTTGCTGTTTAATTTAGGAACCAATGGGTTAAGGGTTGACCATACTGGCATGCTGTCAGCACGGTCACATGGTCAAGTTCTGGGCTGCACGTGACATCATCATAGGGGTCAGTGCGTACTTTAGCAGACATGGATTCACCTTTGGAACTATTTTACTTGGGGCAAATTTCACATGTTACTTAATTTCGGGCACAACTATGGCTCAGTGTCTCGCTTTCACTTTATAGTCAGGTGAGACCTCAGCTCCTTACTCTGGACTGTGCATGCTCCCTGATGGAGGTTAATGTATGTTTGTCCCCTTGACCAAGGTGCTAGCCTCAACACCAAGATGTTTCTCATTCAGAGTATTTTCCAAAAACCAGCTGTTTATCCCAAAAAGGGACATAGATTAGTTTTGGCTATTATTCACATGAAATGAAAGTCAAATATCCTTGGAATGGCCCAAGACGCTGACAGATACAAACCACAAAACCTGCTGTGAGTAGTCAGTTGGTTAGTAAGTACTAAGCTATAACACAGACAACCATAGGAATGACTGGCAAGTCAGTGACGGTTGGTTGAAGACACAATGTGGCCGTCCAGCTGCTCCGTTTCCAGACAGACACAAAAGTCAGTGTCAAAGTGGAATGTCTGGGTTGGGTGGGCGTCTGCGTTTTGTGTCTGACTTCTCCTTTGGAGAGGTAGAGGTGGAAGAAATGAGAAAAGGAAGAGGGAAGGGAGCTTGGAAATTCTTTAACGTTTGAGTGTTGTTACAGTGACGGTGGGATTATTGCATTGTCAAGGTAGAGTTTAGTAATCATGAATAATCACTTTGAACTTTATGCTTTCATCATCATATCTGGGTCCTTATCCCACTTTAGAGCTTTACTGCACATTTATACCATGACATATTTGGTTTCTTATTTCTCAGACACATCTCAAACAAAGTGATTTTTGTCTGGTGTTCAAAACTCAAGTTAGCATATGTAAGAAAAGAAAGATGCACATTTTCAAAAAATATTTTTAAATACTAAAATGTAGCCAAGTATGAAGGATTCCATTCATGTTTTATCTAAACAAAGTGACATACGAGGTATGTGCGATATTATATTCAAACAACTACAACTTATTATTTGGTGATACCAGACAATTAGGTTAATATACATTCTGAGGTAGTGAACCAAAGAAGTCTTTAAGTGTGAATAGGTCCGGGTATTGAATGTCAGTTCTTTTGGTGTCAAGTGAACTGTGTAGTAGTGAAAGCTGTCTGCAGAACTTTAGTTCCATATTTAAAAATGCATTGCCTGAAGAAAACTATTTAATAGTAGCATTATTCCTGCATAGCAGCTTGTAACAGTCAACGTTTGATAATGTGTATGTAATATGAAAAAAAGAAGCTTTATAGGAAAACTAGCTTATATCTTTAAAAAAAAAAGATATATTTTGGTTAACATATTTAAAAAAGGGACTCATTCAAAAAAAACTCAAATGAGTCTCAAATCTGAACTTACAGTCAACTTTATGACTCAGTCTTACCTGGAACATGCACTTAACCAAACCCTAAATACTTCTCGTCTCTTCTTGTCATTAATGATTATTTCATGTGACAAGAGCCGTAAATCCAAAACAAAGCCAGAGAATTGTAGCAATAATAACAACACTTAACTGTCACTGAATGGTGAGTAACCAACCTGAGGAGGTTTAACCCTCAGGGTGTGTATGACTGACTAAGATTAATTACTTAACCAGTGTTCCCATAACTTAGATGCTATGACTCTCACATCAGTATTATTTAAGAGGCCATTTGGTTGACTGATTGCAAAGCGCCTAATACGGCATGACATCTGTCATCTACAGATACAGTAGTCATAAAGAGGTCAAAGAGTTCACTGTGTCCTTTTTGAATCTTACGTTCTTCAAATGAAAAAGAAAAAAGAGAACTTTGTTGAATTATGTGAACACAGATAGAAAACTTGCCTGGACAGAAATGCTTATTGTGTCGTATGCTCTCTTGTGTGATGTTGCTGGGTAAACACATGAGTAAGGGGTTTAGGTGAAAGTCTTTGACAGTGTGGAGAGCTGCTCCACGAATGTGGGCCAGAGTCATACTGGCCCACATTCATGGTCATGACATGAAACACCATTACCACTCTTCGCTCATTTTTTTGGGAGGATTGTATCCTTCAGTGGCGTTTGTCCACTTTCTTTTGGAGTAAAAGAGGCAGTCGACAGACACAGAGCAGACTTGTGTTACCTGCACACAGCAGTGAATAGGAAACGTGCACCTTTTCAAAATCAAAGACTGTAGTTAGCACAGCAAACTAGAGATAAATGCAAAAGAGGTGGCGTGATACCGTACTCTCTGCTTGTCATTACACATGTGACCTAGTTTAACAATGCCGTCTGATCTGTTCCAACATGTTGTTTTATTACTTAAGCAGGATGTTAAAGACTGGCTCAGCTGACTGTAGCTTCAGTTATCAAACTGAGGATGGTTTGAGTTGTTACTAGATGTCTTCTTGTGTCCAAAACCAAACCTTTCCTCAACTGGAGAAATACATTCAAATTTAGAGATCCTATTTATAACCTAATCAAAACCAAATTTCTACATCTTTGAGAAGGACATTAGTATTTAGCTGCCGTCAACAGTTTCCAGATCAAGTTCAGACTTCACCTCATCTTTGATGTCCTCTTGCTGTTGTGCTGTGAAGATCTCCATGGCTCCCATTAACCTCATCATCAGCTCGTCCACTGTCGTATTACCTGAAGATAATAAAACTATCAATCAAAATCTAGTGTAATTTTATCATTTTCTTCCAATAATTACAGACAAATGTATCTCTACATATTATACAAGTAGGAATTACCTTGAATAACATTTAGAACTTCGTTGGACGTTCGCTTGCCCATTACTATGAGGAGCAGGGGGAACTGGTCTGTTTTGTATGTCCGTATAGTTTGTGTCACCACACTTCCAAAGTGCCTCGTGCACATGGTGAGTAGTCTGGAAGAAAAATAAATAAATCCATCAATTTCTTTTTATTCACCTTATTTTTTGTTCTGGAAGCGAACATATATTTCACAGCCTGCAGTTTAAAATAAAAATGCTGAACATGAAAGAAATAAATACAAAATATGTGAACACAATGAGGACATTCATATTTTTTTTTACAACGTGAAAATTAAATGGTCATCTTTTCAGAATTCATCAGAAAAGAGAAATATACACAACTTGTGGCGTTGGACTTATAAACCAATATCTCCGTCTTTCTCTATTCCATCAGAGTGACATGCTATCTCAATTGGAACCAAAGATGAATTAGTATTCTTCACCAGACACCCAGAATTGATAGGGCAAGAGAGGATTTCTTATTCCATTACAAAGACAGAACTTTTTAAATTAACATTTCAGAGAGGGAAAAGGGTAGCAGGCAGCCGGGGCACTGCCAAGCTCCCTGTAAATGTCATAATATTAATGAATTGCTATAGACTGAATGCAAATATAGATTAGCTTTTTCTCACGCCTTTTAATAAGATCTACTTTAATAACTGGCTGGTAAAATAGAGAGGTAATGGAATGGATGGAGGGACAGCAGGTCAGAGGAAGAAGATAGATGGAAGGGATGCTATCTGAGGGGAGGGGGGGGCGGTGTAACTCATTAAAACATGAGGCCAAAGCCGCAGCAGCTACTTTCAGACTTTTCAAACTGTGAAATTGCGTATTTGAGCTCATTGTGGTACTTTTTAAAGTTATAATTACACTGGTACAGGGGGAAATGTGGATGGCAGATGGCATTAGAGATGCTGTTGGAATATGATTCAAACTTCTCCAAATGTTGAACTCTGAATGACCCACGTCTTGCAATGAAAAAGTTGGGTACCCTAAATCTTACTGATCCTTCTGTCCTGACATTTGTCCCCGTTCAGACCTTGACCGAGGCCGACCATAACAAAAGCCCACAGGGAAACTCTAACCTGTAATGAAAGGCCAGGGAACAATGGACACCAACTTGAAGGGTTACCTGATCCTAAATCTCCCATCAAGCACAAACCAACCCGCTTTAGTTTCAAACTCAAAATAAAGGAAATCACTCCACCTTAGTAAAAAATCATCACACAACATAAAAACTGCTCAATCTGAAAACTCAGCCTGAATCCTTTACATATCCACCGTCAATGAAGTTGCATCAGTATATGAAACACTTCACAAATCTGCCCATAGAACAAGTATGGACACAACACACTGAGAGCAGGAGGAAGTCAAGCTACTCCAAGGACTGAGGTGAACAGTTCATCACAGTCTCATCCAGCCAAGACACAACATGGTAAAGAATGTAGCCTAGTCCGTACCAGACCTGTGGCCTTTTAAAAACCTTCAGGGGGTAAATGCTTGTAGAGGAAACACCTGCGTGGAACTTGCAACTAATGTGAGTTAAAGACTCCGCTCCACTGGTAAATGTTATTGACAGCTTCTAATTTCTCACCCAACCCATCTCCCAGCCCACGCTGCACAATAAGACAGCGAAAACAGTTAATGTTTCCCTGGACTGTCACATAACATTTCTTCACATCAAGGTTGTGTGAGAAGATGCGAGTGGACTGGTTAGACCTGACAGCTGCTTGACTGAGCAGCTGATGAGTCCAACTAGTACAGTAGCACTGCAGGGAATTTCTTCAGCAGCCACCTTTATGGGAGGACTATGGGAACCGGATGCTTAATAACGCACTGTGTCATACACAATTTGTTTAAGAGCAAACATGGACGTGTTCTGATTTGAAAATGACATTTATTTTGTTCTTTAAAACCAGTTATGTCTGCAGGTAGGAGGATGTCAGGAGGACAAGTCAAGTGTCAAGGAGGGGTTTGCATGTTGGTTTGTCCCTATGCTTAAAGGTTAAAACACATATTGACTCCTTGTGAATAACATGCATATGTGCATTGTAGTGCTATTGTACAATAGAGTGAGGATACCCAAGCAAGTCGGGCCTGGTTCAGACAGCAAATTTGAAATTATATTCTAGTTGGGTTCGGGTGGAGGTTTGTCAATTTACTCACAAGCTCTGTTGGGTTTGGACAGAAACTTGCAGCCAGAGCAGCAGTCTATTGTTAAGGTGTTCATGTTAGTCTTAGGTCTTTGTCAAATTCTCAAATATCAAATCTTTACAAAATAATTAACATACAAATAAAGACGCATAAATAAACTTTTTAGTGCTTCTAGAGATGTTGGTACTAAATTAGCATTAAATAAAATGTGTATATTTGAAGAAGTATGACAACCTCATAAAATGATCCACTTTCAGTGCATTTATCTACTGATAGTTTCAATATTTGCCATATGCAACGACAGTACAGCGCCTGTGCAACATATCAGATTCATTTCCCATGGGTGACAATTACACTGATATCCAATCAGCAGAACTGTATTTATGCATAATTAATCATTTAACTAGAAGGCCTGAGAGAATACCGAGTGCAAAGCAACAGGCACATTCCAATATCAGCAGGTTCGTCAAACACACTCAGGATACCTCTCTAACGGCCTGTGTGATTGCTGCCAATCACCAGTCACTTTGGATCAACCAGAGAGCGTGAGAATGCAGCCAGGCAGTGTTGTGTGTGAGTGAGTGAGCGTGCACATGTGCATGCATGCGTTAGCGGCGAAGCTGTGACTAGCTGTGTGCGATGAAAAGCTCCAGATGTTGCCTGCCTTTTAATGTGCAATAAAAAGGCTCAGCTGGGGCAAAAAGCAAAGGAGGCTAATGGGAGAGAAGGGAGAGTGGAATGAGGGAAGGAGGGAATTTCCTTAAAAGAAATAATGGAGGGGTGAGGTCAAGGTGCGAGTCTTTTCTTAAATGGCTCCTACCCGAGGGCAGGCTTAAATCTGGAGGAGAGGAGGAATAAAGATGAGGGAAAATAAAGAAAACAATTTACAAGGGGATGGGGAGAGTGAAAAGATGTAGCAGAAAGATGAGAGGAAGTAGGAGAGGACTTAGTTTGTCAGGGGGCACAATGTAATGAGTAAACCCAATCAAGCCCTCAGCAGGTCCACCTTTACCACCAGGTCTTCACTGCTCAACACTTGCACCTGCAGGGGATCTAGTTGTTTATCACACATTGCAGTCCACTTTTCTTTTTTTTACTTTATATAGAATATTTTGCAATAATGCAATCCAATGCAAGATATTAATGCTTATAATAGAACCTGTGTGATAAAACGGTGTTGCACAGATCGGTAAGGCCAATGGGGGCACAAGGACTTTTGAGCATAAATTAATAGATAGAGATGTTTGGACGCCAAGGGAGTTCTTCATCTCCCACTGACCCTCTTTTCAGACAGCTTAGTCAAGATTGCCCAATCAGGGGCCTCACCATGCAAACACAACGCCTTTTGTTAGCATGCAACCTCGGAGCCTCAGAAAGAGAATGAAGCTGAAGAGAGAAAGAGAAGACAGAGATGCAGGGTGTGAGCTATAGAGTGAGAGCTGAATGCCAGCAATTAAGGACATGTCCACTTTAATGCGAATAGTTGTGAAAACGCTGTTTGTATGTCAAACGGGCTTCAGTTCAAATTGGCAATTTAATGTTATTTTCTAAAAGCGTCCCATACACTGATATGACAAGGAAGAAGATTTCATTTGCAGTCTTTTGACTTTAAGGTATACTGACTGTAAAACTAAAAAACAATGTCGTGCAGCAGGTATTAATGAACACAATAACAATGACACAGGGACAAGACAGTAACATGTTCCAAACAGCTTTCTTCACAGGGTTTTGTGGTGGTTTGCAGAAGCTTCTGCACACACTTCAAGCAGCTCTCCTGCTGAAAACATTTAATATCCTCTTTAATATCCTCTTTATTAGATACACCTCAGTATTTATGCAAACAGTCAACTCCTCCAGACAGTGAGTCACATATAAATAAAACATAAGGATTAAGAATGTAGTCCAGGCTTAGACGTTCACTTATTGCTCCAGTAAACTTTACAGCTGGGGAAATGCAATACTTAACACAGGTGCCAGGATTTCTGAAGATGGAGAATTAATTCAGTGTTTAAAGGGCACTTCAATATTTTAAAACAACCTGGGTCTTAGAGTTTTGCCATTTTTCAAATTACAAAACTGTTTTCTCACTGGTTTAATTATGACACTCAGAGAGCAGAGGGTATCACTACACTCAGCTCTACAACTGAATCTTACATGCTATATAATAAGAGATGTGAGCTATCATTTAGATATTCAGATTTTACTTTTAAATTTTAGACTATGGACTGCTGCTTAAAACCTTACCTGTCTTGCACAGTCTCAATTTAAATTGCATTGAGTAAATTAGGTAGTTTAAGGTGCTGTTGCAAATTATAATACTACTATTACTACTTATAATAATAACTTGGTTTTACATAGCAGCATTCAAGGTACCATCGGCAACTTTACAGAGTTAGGACAAAAATAAATAAATAAATAAAGTAATAGTTAAAATATTAGCTGCCATTAATGAAACTAATGGTCAATAGCGTTTGTGAAAAGGTGGGTTTTAAAGAGTGTTAGCCAAAGAAAGAGCGTTGTGTATGTTTGCCAGGATAGAGTTCAAGAGGGTGGCACACTGGATGCCCTGATTGAGTATATGGGTTAGAGGAGGTCATACAGGTATTTATTATTTATTATATCAAGATTATCTGTATTTGTATTTATTAAGTATACTACACAGGTGCTCCTATAACTGTTTTCACCCCATTTAGTACCAAACACATTTCTGCTTCAATTTATTCCACAGGCTCCAATATAGAGTAAAGGCAGTAAAATACACAGAGATCAGTGATAAATTCCACAGCTCCATGACCAGCAGGTTACCTGAAAAAACAATCTTACACCCCACCCCTCTGACTGGCTTCAGTACAGTACCTGGCTTTGTTAGCTTCTTTAGTGACATCCCATGCCCATGTGATGAAGTTCTGGCTCAGGTATGAGACGATAGAGTCAGCGCACATCATTTGGGAGCAGAAGACGTTGCTGAGGACACTGTCGTCATTGTGGAGGTAGATGGCCAGCAGCTTTCTCTGTGGAGGAGAGAAGAAAATATATAAAAGTTATGAGTATAATGTACCATTGATTTTCTCGGAACATTGTTCAAGCAAGGAAAGAAAAGGTCGTCACAACAGATTGATTTTGATCAGGAGGTGATTTACTGTGCAAGCTATAGAATACATTTTTGGCTGTTAACAGAGGAGTGCAATTTTTTAGAGCGATCTCCCAGAAGACAACAAGTTTGATGACGAACTAGAACACAAACATGTTGGAAAAATTCTGAATCATCAAAATGTAATCTTTGCTTGAAATGAAAACACCCATTCCTCTCAGATCAGTCTCTATCGCTCGGCAGCGTACCAGTGTCTCATCACTGGTGAGATATTTCCACATTATATGACTATAAAATTACATGTGCACCACCTGGTGCAGAGCCAACATGACTTCTAAAGACCACAGCAGGGCCACAACTGGGAAAAAAAGCAAATACCACACAAAATCAAATGCGGAGAGGTGTAAATAAAACTTCTCTTAGAGGCGACGAAGATATGGAGAAAACAAAACAGACAAATCACTATATTTATTTTACACCAAATGCCAGCAGCCTGTTCAGGTTAGTAGCGGCAGGGCCAGACAATATTGACGAAGCTCCAAATCCAAGGATATTGACACCATCATATAAGCCGGGCAGATTCTCCCTACTGACAATCTAATTAAAAAACAAACACACCCACAAACATAAAAGGTTCCAGGGGACAATGTTGGAAATAATGCTCTCTAAATTACATGTCACTTCGCTTGCTATAAAAGAACAAATAAAATAAAAAACTCTCAGTATCTGCTTGGTTCATTTTTCCACCATGGCTGTGAAGGGGGGAGTCAAGGGATCTGTTTCTCAGGAGCTGTAATCTAGGCTACACAGGCCAAAAAGCAAAAAATCTACACAGGGCGTAAAACGTGGAGGGAAGTGAAAGACGAAGTTGTGCTATACTGTGGCCTCTGTAGAATAGGAATGGGAGAACACTGCTGTGTTTGCTCAACGATTAGTGCTTTAGAATAATCTCCAGGGCTACTAGAGAGAAGGACCCGGGGACTCATTCATTGGACCGATTCAACAGCCTGAAAAGATTAAACACTCATGCTGAGAAGACAAGCAAATTCAGTCTTGAGAGAGGAATGAGGGTGAGGGGAGGGAGAGTTTTACAACATGAAAAAAAAAAACACTGACGTCCCGACACACATGCACAGATGCACAAACTTCACTGTCTGCTTCGCACAAGTGGAGGACTCACACTCACACACATGCATGCTCAATTAGAGCAAGTGTAAAGACTAATCAAAGTGGGCATTTTGGCCGACTGAACTCCTTCATCTTAGTTAAACTATCCATTCCCCTCTATTCCCTCTCCACTTTCAAGTTGGCTCTTTTGTCTTGCCTGTCGTAGCAGGGAGAAGAAAATCCCTCAGTTCAGCTAAATTACTGGGTCCAACCTGAGCGAGATAGTGACCCCATAGTCCTTCCTCACACCTGTTCACCTGAATCTGAGCCTGCTTTGTGTTCATGAAAGAGAATAAAGATTTCACAGAGCACAACAGTGCGCACATAGAGAAGGCTTCACCGCTTACAGTGCAATCAATGCTTTCTCACACTGGAAAGACAGTTTTCTAAAATCCTTTCTGTAAAATACAGATGGATCAATGCAGCCAGAACAACAAGGCTTTGAAATGACAGTTAACATGTTTGCATGATACCTCTTTAAAATAAAATTCACAGCTATACACATTTTACTGAAAAAGGCAATTGATTCATTTTCCATTGTCACTAGAGGATTTTGTCTTCAGTTTTTTTGTCCCCAAAAGTCATGCTGCATGTTTGTTAACGCACCGGAACCAATGCATCGATACGATTTGTGTTGAATCTTGTACAGTAAGAAAAAAGACAAACGCAATTGCATGCTGTTCTCAAAACTTAAAAATAGCATCAGAAAGAGTAATAAAAAACACAAAGAAGTAATTAGTGTGTGTCATGTTTGCATCAATGCCAACTGGCTCTGGAGCTGATAAAAACCTGTTTATACTGCAGAGTCATCTGACTAGTAAATGCTGATTGCATCTATTCCCATTGAAGACAGAAACTAGGCTGCATCTGAAAATTGCGCCACTTTTACTGTCCACCATACTATATTAACTTTCAGCGTCATAGTTCCCTATTAAATCTATTTTACTGCACGACAAAGAATTGTGCCCATAGCACAAAAAATACTTTTAGCTCAAAATCCCACAATGCAACCAAGTATGAGTAAAGTGAAGTATATATATATAAAAATATATATATATATATTTGTGGGACTTAGAAAGGAAAATCTGCATGTTTTTTTTGACTGTGAGCTAGTTTGACTTGTTAATTTTAATCACATGTATATGTTTAACAGGGTCAAAAAAATACACTTGAATAAGATACAGATATATGCAATAACATACAGAGTGAAAGAAGAGCAGAGAGGTCCAGATAATGGTTGTTCTACAGATGGCAGGCTCAGTCTAGAAAAATAAATACTTCAAAATGAAGAGCTCATATGACTGATCTAATGACCTTAATCACATGGTGGGAAAAACACATTTAGATTGATGACAACCCACACAGGATATTCTCCACGTGCTGTGGAAAACACATTAACTCTTTAGGACAGAAATAGCATCAGATTTTTTTTCAAACTGTGATTAAACAAATCAAATTACGCGTCAGCTTTAAATTACATTCTAAAGGTAAGTAGGTGTCTTATGGCTATGCAAGCTCCTGATCACCCACTGATTGGTTGGTAAGGTTTTTCACTTCCACTCTACACTCATTTAATTCTAAGTCCATCTATTTATGCATGAGAACAATCAGTCTATAACTCATGAGAGTGTTGTTTGTGATTAGGTCTGATAGATATATGTACATCTACATGCCACTTGCCACTCTGATTTGATGGTGCTCTTTTCTGTCGACTGCGCGAGGCTATTTCTGGGTTTTAAAGCAGACACTTGGCAGTGATAAATCCCTGAACTCTCCTCTCAAGCAAGGCTATGAATTTTGATGTGGCTTTGTGTGTGGCAGACAGGAGAGCAGAGTCGAGAGTGGAGGAGAGTGGGGTTAGAGTGATTAACCACTGCGTTGATGGGGATTTAGTGAGGATCGTGGTTAGTGATGGGTGGCCTATCTCTCTGTACACTCTGACTAACCACTGATCCCCAAGGGGGTTCAGCTCAGCTCAGCTCTGCAGCCCAAAGCATTTTCATTAAGGATGGATTGAGTCAATCTCAACAGTCCCAACACACACCTTCAGAAACACTTCATCAAATTTAGTGTTTTGCTTAGTGATTAGCCTCTCCCAGGCTTTGAGAGAGTGAGACTGATTCCTCTGTTTATAAACCCACTGAGAAACCCCCTTCAGTGAAATCTGCCCCATTCCAATATCCCCTTAATGAAGTGGGCCTTTTCTATGACAAGGACACAAAAACTAGATCTCTTTTTTTGAATGGAGCCAAAGAGCAAAGGATGCGATGACTCGATTGACAGAAGGGGGGGAGCAGTGTTATCGTGCACATATGCTACTGTGTAATGAAATGATCAAAAGCAGCATGTTTTGGACTGTCGTCTAGGATGCTCGTGATAAAACAAGACAAACACAGAACAGATCAAATGGCTTCTGTTTTCACGCAAAACTCTTTGCACATATTCAGCTTCCCTAAAGCCACGCTAACAGCGGCACAGTTGGCAGGCTAAATGTAGCTCGCCCAGAATAAAAACTGAATACAGTGAAAATGAATACTATTTCGCCCCTGCGCCGTGTAGAGCTCAGCGGTAAAGTACTGAGTGTGTGAACACCAGGGAGACCTCGGCCATATTGTGCTGGCTTAGATGAGGAGATCAGCTGGGAAGCAGGCGAGGCGCCAGGCACCACTTTGGATTTTTTTTCCATCTCAGTTTATTTCACACACTCTACATCCCTTGCTCTCATACTGCAACCTCTCCTGCTCTTTCTCCTCTCTCATCGTCTTTCTCTAACTTTTTCTTTTTTAACACTCCTCTCTTTTCCAACCGCGTTATCTGCACTGTGTCCTACTGTCATCCATTCCACCCTCCCTCCCTTCCTCCAGCTCTGTGAGCCTGGTGATCTGAACCCCCCTAACATCTTGCCGTTTCCTCACAGTCTAATAAGGCTGTAATCCACACAAGCTGTCAATTGATACAAGCATCCTTAAAAGGACAAAAGCTGAAAAACAAGGGGGGAAGTGGACAGCTAAAAATAAAGCCTCATCTGTCAGTGTGAAAATTTGATCAAATGATATCAATGTCGTCTCCACACAGCAAAACATGTGTGGAAGACAAATAACAGTAAACACTGTCCGAAAAAGGATTTCTAATTTAACAGTGCCAACACACCACAAATGCAACTCATTACAACTTCTGCTTATTCTAAACAAAAGTCATTCATGGTTTTGTTTGACACTGTTGTTAATAATCTATCTCTACGTGTTTTTACATAGAGCATCAGGTAAACAAATTGAATTAACTCTATCTCAGTGGTCCTCATGACAGTGATGAACCGGTCTAAACTATTGGAAAAGAGCAGATTAGACATATACAAAATCTGTTAGTTTAGCATTGAAGACGAAGATATGAGAAATGCAGCATCTCCCCTGACAGACAAAGAATAATATCCTGCTCAGTCTGTTTCTTCTCAGTGTTGGCTTAAGCAAAGAAATGACTAGACAAAAATGACATCAGTCTTAAAGGACAACACTGGTATGGTAAGGACCTTTCTCTCACCTATAGTCAAAACTAAGTGTTTGGAATATAAGGGGAAAATGATAAGTATGATTTTGACAGCCATTACAGTCTCTCTGTCAATTACTTTTTTTCTATGAGGCCCTGAACAGTCCAGCAGCTTACTTACATCTCTGGCTTTGCCGTAGAAGGCCTCTTGAGACGCTGCCTCCAAAGACCCAATGAAGAACATTGGGTGGGTCTCTCCATACCTAAAAACAGACAACAAAAGAACAGTCCATAAAAACATATTGTTACATTCCAGCCTTGTGTCATTCCAAAGTCCTTTGAGTCAATATGAGAAGTATGTGATGCATGGCTCACCTTGAGGAAAATTCGGCAGTAAAGTGCAGTAAGGCATCAGCTTCATTCTCACTGTTCTCTGGCACTGTAAAGACCCAAAATATACTGCACGGTTAAGTTTTGCATGTACGATCCTGAAATTTAAAAGAGTCACTGGAGCAAGTACAGGTCCCATATTATATATTCCTCTGTCACTTTTCAAGAATTGATATCCATGAGAAGATATATTTGTGTTTTTATGAACCAAAAATGAACTGAATATAGTTTTAAATCTCCTCTCTCACACTTCTCATTGAAGGTAAAGAATAAAGCGTTTTGTTTTGGTCTCTGAGTCTTGGTTGACTGCTTTCTGAGTGACACATGGCCAGGCCAATCACTGGTGATGGATTCCACCCCATGACTGTAGCTTGGAAAAACTCACAGGTAAATGAGGATTGTCAGTCAGCTCTGAAATGAGCTGAGCATACGGTCAAATTTGTCTTTCAACAAATGCTTACTCAACAATTGGCCTTGTCTTCTTTGTGCATGCTGTTGTATTGTAAATAAAGTAAAACAACAAAACCGTTGCGCAGCCCAAGGCTGAGGGTAGTGACTGTATAATTTTGAGATCACAAATATTACAGAGGTCCTGCCATCTCATTTTAAGGCACAGTTTCTGAAAACATGTGATGAGTACATTTATATGGGGATTGATTGATATTTTCACAGTATAAAGAAAGAAATATCAAGTTCTCTTTCCACAATATGGGACCATTAAGAGCTCAAACTTAAGTTTGCTTTAAGTTGCTTTGGATAAAAGTGTCAGCTAAATGAAATGAAATGTAATGTTATCATCATGCTGCTCCGCTGTACATACTCATGGGTGATTTCCGACAGGTTGAGGAGCCCATTCCAAACATCTCTGAATCGTCCACACCAAACTCTGACGCATCCTCAAAATCATCCCCCTCGCTGTCACTGATCATGTGGACATCTGCGCACTGTAAACAGAATTATTAGTTCAAGTAATCAACCAAAGCACTTGTTGTCACAATGCTGTATGAGTCAGCATGTATACACAGAGCCTGGGGGGGGAGTAATGCACGTATCCCTGTATATACCTCTTCTGTGGGCTCCTGGGCATTTGCTGTGGAGGATCTGCGACAGACACTGAGGTGATGGCAAGGATAGCTGATACCAGAGACAGCTAGTGTCATCTAAAAACAGGAAACATAATGAAAGAGTCATATTTTGTTTACTAAGTCAATCAGTACATTTTTTTGCCCATAAACTTCAATACTGTTCCGGTCCTAATAACTTCTGATTAGTGTTGGTGTTTATTGTTTAAGTGTAAAATGAGTGCAGATCAGAGGGGGGGTGAGGAGGGAGGACATGCGGCACGGTAATACAGCACGGTACATGGTACCCGGGCCGCTGCTGCAAAATGAACATAGAGGAAACCTGACGCTTCGTGAATGCACGCATTGGGAAAGTATTAACTGAATTATCCGACATGAGCAAAATGAAATCGGTTAGAAGTTATAAATGTCAGTTTTGGTACATTCATTGCCCAGCCCTATCATGTATTATGAAATATTTCATAACTTTTGAACAAAGACTTGGGGAGACCTTGATGAGGTATCTGTACACCTGCCGTACAACTAACAGCGTGATGGTGGTTTGCAGTAAGAGAACACCTGACTAATGAGCTCCCTAAATCCATAGCCAGGGCTGAAAATGTCAGCATTCAGCTGGGACTCATTACAGTTCGTGACTCCAAGCTCAGACCTCGAGGGACGTCAACAGTACAGGCAAGGCTGCTGCAGGACGTAGCGTGAAATGAAAGGTACCTCACTTTGAAAGAGTGCTGTGCCACATTTTAGATTGATTCCTATCATATAATAATGCAGAGTCAATTTATAACACCAAGTCTAAAGGTTCTTTTACTCAACAATTTAATTTCCAACAACAGTTACTTGTAAAAACAGGACTGGTAAGCATATAACCATGACTTGAATACACTGATACTTATCACAGTGAAACAACAATATATGAATTCACATTTTAATTGTCAGGAGCAGAGCAGAAATGCCAGATGCAAATACTTTTCTGGGAGAGTGAACTTCTAAACTACAGGACAGAGGCCGGGCAGCCATGCAGGCAGGGTGTGATAAGAGGCAGGGAAGCTGCTCGTCCCCTGCAGAGGTCCTGTGATCTGCTCTATTGTCAGGTGCCACGGCACACAAAGAGCAGCTGGACGCGGTTGAATCGGGAGACGATTACATGCAACGCCAATTGAGTCTGAAAAGGGCTAAACCGTGTGCAGGGAGTTTCTCTCTCTGTATAGAGCGGTCCCTCATGCTGGCCTCAGCCTCTGGAACAGCAGAAAACAGTGTAACCACTCGACCTTGTCAGCAACATGGACTCACTTGTGAGTGCCGCTTTGTACCTGCCACTGATAAGAAGTGAAGTATGTGACAAAGTACTGTGTCTATGATATTTCATGTTTTCACACCATCTAATCCTTTTAGTAATAGAAAGTAAGTTAGAAGCCACCATCAGACCAAAATATTTAGGCAAAAATAAAAATTGTGGCTTAGATGAATGCTGTCTGACATAACAAAATGAGACGATATCTATTTTTCTATTACCAGAGATTTTGATAAAACGAGTATAACATAGTATTTAAACAACACAATGGAGTATTATAATGTATCAGGTGATTAATTTGCTGGATTAACCAGAAACTGACTTTTTTGTCAGGTTATTGTATAAACAAACACTTTTTAATTTATTTTCCCCCAAAACAATATATATATTTATATATGATGGAGGAGTTTATTCAATGTTGGATTACTGTGTTCTTTATCCCTGATATGACCTATCTCCATTCACATTAGACAGTGGATAACCAACCACGGTCGGGTCGGGCCCTGACAAAAATTTGGTTATTAACAAAATGCCTGTTGGATTCAGGGCAGGCTCAGTTAGTTTTCTCTCAGGCTCAGTCTGGTTAGGACAGAGTTGTCTTTGATTCACATACACAGTATAGCCCAGATTCAATTGTTTACATATCCTTAACTAAGATAATAAACTCTGTCATTGATTGCCAGGAGAGGTACAAACATTTTATGATTAAAAAAATTGTTAAGAAGACATAAGATATAATGAATCTGGTTATAATACTGACCACAGTGTCTTAAATTCCCATAAGGTCAGTAACCAAGAGGATACATGAGAAAGGCCGTATCTCCCCTGAAAGTTGAAGAGTGAATAATATCCTGATGAGTACTCGTCTCCCATGTTGTCTTAAGCAAAGCAAACTCCCCAAAACACAGTGGCTAGACTGATGTGCAATGTTGAAATTAAACAAACCAAGAGTGACATCACCTCTAAAGGAACTGACAGCACCTCACATCTTACTCATTGTAAAGGTTAAATGTGTTGGGAATAAAAACAGACTAAGAAAACACAACGCTTGTTTCTCACTGAATTAAAATCGTTCCTGTGAGGCCAGAACCGTCAGTTACACCAGACACAGTGACAGAGGTGTGCACACAGATAATAGAAGAGCGATAGTGTTTCTTGTGTATTACCAATTAGTAGCAGAGGTGCTTTTGACCATGAGAATTATACAGCTCAGTGTCCCAGAGACACCTATGAATAACACTTAACTCCAAACTTAACTTTAATGAATTTAGTGCTCTGGTCCCACGGTATTAATTTCTCTTTTTTCCTCTCCATTATTATGTAATGGTGCAACAACTACAACAGAGCATTGGGACCACTTTAAGGGGGAAAAAATCTGATATTTCTAAAATAAGTCATAATATTACGACAATAAAGTCACAATAAAGTCAGGACTTTGTTTTAGAAACTGTCTCTAATCTGAAGACAGAACCACACAGACTTTGTGGAGGAGGAAATGTTTGGTAGTCGTCAATGGTAAAGCTATCGGTTACATCTGCATTATATGCAAAGGGATTTTCAACATTTTGGATCCAGGAGTGGAACTCTGGTGTGTACAGAGTCTCCTTGCTATTTTTTTCCGAAAACTTTTTTTCCTTTTTCTCGAAATATTATGACTTTTTAAAAATTCAATTACGCCTTTATTCTCGTAAAATTATGACTTTTTCTCATCAAATTCTAACTTTATTCTTTTTAAACTATGACTTTCTTATTAATTTGAACTTTATACAACTTTAATCTCAAAATTGCAGATTTTTTTTCTTTAATATGGTTCAAATACTTCATTGTAAGTGATTCAAAGAAAATTTAAGGTAGTTGAGGAGCTGATGGGATACAGGTCTGAAAGTAAAAGCCTGGATAGAGATGTTGGTACTGAGTCAGAAAAAGATTAACTGAGCCTGAAGCATTTGAAGGAATGGCCCTAAATAAATTCCGCCTATTCCCTGATTGAGTGGCAATCAAACGTGAGAGTCTTAACAGCGGCTGCTGATCCCCATAAACCCTTTACCCCCACTCCTCACAATAAGTGGCTTTTATTTGAGGGTCTAATAAGTGTATAAATAAAGTTGATCGCTTCCCCTGTCAAAGACAGTGTGGAGGGTTTGGGCTGACATGGATTCAAGGAGGGGATGTGAAAGGGAAAAAAAATGAGTTGAGTGCCTCTCAATCCTCTTCCTCACTTTGACCTGACGGCTTCTCCCGATGTTGAGGTACACAAGTGCAGCTTGGTGGCTCAGTGGTAAAACGTGGAAACAAGGCTAAAGCACCGCAGGGCACGGGGTAAAGGGGGGTAGGGGAGGGAGTGAGGTTAACCCCCCCAAGTGACCCTCTCCCACATCTCCACACAAAAGGAACTGGCTCTTCTTTTTTGGATTCTTTTAATTAACACTTGCATTGAGGCTCGAAGCATTCAGAGGCCGATACAGGGAAAGAATTCTCTCTCTCGCTTAACCCCCCCCTCCCTTCTTTGCCTCTCTCCCCTTCAACCCTTTCTTCCTCTTCTCTACCTTTCTTTCCCTCCCATTCTCTCCCTTCATTCTCTCTGTGTTTCAGTTTTTTTTTCTTTTCTAGTGTAGGCAGTGTTTGGATTAGGTGTCTGGCTGTGAGTGTGAGATAATTACTACTGACAGCTGCACTGACGGCAATCACAACCACACTAGCACCTTAGCCCACTTTCTCTTTGATGGAGCAGGAGAACAGTGAGAGGAGAGAGGCCAAAGAGAAGGCAGAGACTGAGAACAGCCCCCCCTAAACACCTGTTGGTCACCTTGTCCAGGCTGAGCCTTGCTGAAGATGTAACTCTTGTTATTAGTACGTAGGGATGGGTTTTAAGAACTCGTGCTAAATTGGTACCAGTTATCATTGGACAGTAACGAAATATTGATTAAATTCTGAGCCAACGGTGTTTCTATTAGTATTTATGGTACATTCAGGCTTTTGCTATGCAGCCTGCCATTGCAAAATTATTACAGCCACTGCTAAAGGATTAGGGCAGATGCACATTTGGCCCAGATTCCTGTCGGAGTGTCCTTCCTCCCCACTCTCCCGCTGGCCTGCGCTCACTTTGCACTTTGGTGATATACACCAATACTAATCAGAGATTATTAGAACCCTTACAATAGTGAAGTGATATGTTTGTTTGATTTATGCAATAATTTACGAGGCACGCATTTCCTATAAACATTGACATTTGTTTTTGAAGAGCAACAGAGATGATTTTCCTTAATGCCACTGTTTAGTTTTATAWTGTTAATAGTCTTTTCTTTTTATTTATTACTTGAAGGCTACATAGCCACTTATGTTCAAATATCTTTAAAAAAGAACACGTGAGTGTTGTTGACTTGGGATTTATTATTTTATTTTTTGCTGTGATATCGAATTGGGTATCGGGAATCGTGGAAATTTCATGTTATCGGTATTGACTTCTACATTTTTGGTATTATGACATCCTTAAACCAAGCAGGATGGAAGCTGCACGTGAAGAAAAAAAAACCTTAGACAATGAGACAGATAGACTAACTCACTGCTGCCTGAATGTCACCTGAAGGCAGCCAGTTACATGAGGTAGAGGGGGGGCTCTGCCTGAGCTTACAGCTGAGCCCTGTTGCTAAGGAAACCACCAGGCCGCCCTCAATAAACCCTCGGTTGCATAGGCCCCTCTCAGGTAGAGGAGTATTCCATTAATGCCAGATGGGAAGCGGAGGGAGGTGCTGGCCTACAAGGCAAGGCACCTCTCCGAGGCTCCACA